AACGGGTACGACTGTTTGTTGCCAGCGCTATATTATGTGCAGTACCGCAAGGCTATTTTTGGTAAGTATTTATAAACACGAGCCCGATGGACCGCGGAGTTATTGGATCGTATATACGTGTTGCTTTATAAATTTAATTATATCCTCGCAGAGGTATAGTTCATCGCTGAATGAGCATATGATGTTGATCAGTCTAATAATTTTTTTTTTTTCTATTTAAAATGTATTTCAAACGCGTTTATCGTATTTTCGAGTGTATAAACTGCACAAGTACCTACTATGTATAGTTGAAAATGTCCAAAAATATTTAAATTATTAAAAAAAAACTGATTCTGATGATGGACACCACTCGACTATAGCGCTCGCTTAATTGACGTCAATACATTTTTAGTTTTTTCATATTGGAATGTAACTTGCATTTGCTTACATTATAATTCACGCTGTTCGTATAAACAACTAAAAGTAGATAAAAATAAAAACTCGTGTTTTCATACATTCAGAACAACAAAAATTGTCTAAATTTAACTATCATATTATTAAATTAACATTTAAACAAATTTTAATTAGGTATCTATTTTAACAAAAGGAAGTGTTCGTCGGTGTTTGATCCTCAATCGAACCTATTGCAAGCAGAGGTCTCAAAATTTACGTACGGAAATGCGTCCGTATGCTGGATTTTCAAAATTTAACCACAATTTTATTTTTTTAGTGAAAATTGAATTTGTTTGTTGATTTATGAGTAACACATTGGCACGGGCGTCACGAATGTAAAGAAAACAGTTATTATACGTTGATTTGATTGTCAAGGGAAAAAAATAGTAACCTTCCAAAAAAAAAAAAAAAAATTAATAATTACCGTACAAAAACAGTTAACTTTGATAGTGGAAACAAAGAAACTCGTTTCATTTTTTTTTGTTCAGTTTTATGCACGGGAAAAGACCGTGTGGGGCAGCAGATTCTGTACAAATAATTATTTTTTACTCATCAAAAAATATTCATTTTCAGTGTGTTATTATTTTTACGTTTTACGTTCTTAATGCCAACAATGTTACATGCAACGGCGTTGAAATATTGCTATTTTTTATATGTACAGGACTCGTGGACTCATATAAGAACATCACGCGCAATGCTATACCTGCAATTAATTTTAATAATATTTTTATTAAAAAACGACCGTTTAAATTTATTATTATCGCTTAATCATGTTTTATAGGTACCTACTAATACTAAAACTTTGGAATATTTATATGTACATTTTAGTTGTGTTGAATTACTTGTTTTTAAACAAAAAATGCGTTTCGTCATGATATATAATTACTTTATATATTTAAATTTGTTACATGCTTTTGCTTTGTTTTGTGTATGGTTATCTTTATTCCAAGTTTATGTTTTGCATTTATACCAGGCATATTAATGTTTCAACTTGATTTTATTGGGATATTCGTTCTTGTTTGCTCTTTAATTTTATTTTTTTATGGACGGGTAATTATTATGTTTTTGAAGTAATGATTTGATTTATCTTTTTATTTAATTTAATTTTTTTATATACAGGCATTTATTAAATACTTGAATTACGAATTCGTGCATTTGCGTATACCTAAAATATTTATAATCTAATAATTTAGATTATATTTCGTGCGGCGCGTAATTGTGTGGGGGAGGGAAGGGTCATTTTACATTGCCGTATAGGTAGACGAAATTTTGTTTTACACATTGGTGTCAAATTTGAGTGTTGACGGTTTGATAAGAGTGTTTCCTAAATAAATCAACGTATATTATATTATTTACATGTTGTATCTATAAATATTAAAGTATTTAAAGTATAAAAAGTTATCGATGTTAGTTTTTATTTAAATAGCAATCATATTTTGTATGTCAATATTTCAGAGAAAATCTACGACGACTCCCGGAAATATTAATCTCTTTAAATATTAATATTTGTGTTTAAAGCCTTATTGCTACCTAATCACCAAAACGTACGTTATAAGTAACGCAATTTGCTATGTTGCCTGTTATTTAGGTAGAGTGACGCATTATAGATACGAGTGTGGCGTCTAGTTTTGAATAATAGATTTATAAAAAAATATATATATAATGTGTAGGTACGCATACGGTATATTATATTATATATACCTACATAAAACAGGCACTTTTCTGTTATCTTGACTACCGGCCTTCTCCGTTATGTTCGTGTTTTCAATAATTCTGCAATATTAAAAAACAGACTAAAAATAAATTTGGTGTGACATTTTCGTATAAAATATAATATTATTGTTTATGTATTATATGTTTACTAGTTTATTATAATAGTTTAATTTATTAAAGTTTTTTTTTTTTTTTTTAAATTATTCATTATTACTATTAAACTGCGACATAAGACCGGGACTACTTTTAAAAAAAATAAATAGTGTAGTGTAAATATTACATTGTGATGTATGTTTAATAACTATATAAATTATGAAAAATTAATTATTTTTTGTGCACAGTAGTGACCGTATAGTTGTGTGTGTATTGAGCGCAATCTTTTTTTGACATATTTCGCACGTTTTATAATCGCATCATAGGTAATAATAAATTTGGTGTCTTTTGTTGTAGTTTATACATAAAAAAAATATAAACCTATTAGTTTAATACCTACGCGGCGGTCATTGACGAATAAATTAAAAAGACTGATATATTGAAATATACTGTAGTCGGTATGAGTATACGTAGGTATATTCAGAGTTATTTATATTAATATTTGTAAGCTACCTATAATTTGTATTTATTGGAAATATTTTGTCCATTAAAAAAAAATACTTTAATATCACGTGATATTAAAACATGTATTGTATAAAAATGTATTTTATTTCGTTTTTTTGGCTCCGAGAAAACATTAATCAGATTTGACTGCCAACTGAAAATAAAAACGTCATAGATTGAAAATCTAAATTCTGAAATATCAATACAGTTTAAAGTATATCGTCGACTACCCATCAAAATCTCCTTAGTCGAAATGTTGACCATTATTTTGGTAACTTTTTAAGTTTATCTCAGTTTTTCATATCTCCTGTAAAATTAGTTAAAATCGACTTACCAGGTTTTGCTTGGTAGCCGACGACACATAAAAACTGATTTTCTGGTTTATGCGACATGCTATAGGTAGTAGCATAGTGTTTATTTTGTCCAAGTTTCTTTTACACCGTGAATCTGCAATTGGTGAATCAATCTACGTTTATGTTCGTACAGATGAATTATGCCTTTTAAATGAAAAAATGCATATGCTCTGAAATTGATTATTGGCCAATTTACTTATTCCTAGTTTAGCCACAACTTGAAATTTGTCAATGGCCAGGAGAGGTTATAATATTTGCCATTAATAAGTCATGCAGTACAAATAGATCCAAATTTCTTAAATAATTTCTCAAGGACGTTTTAGTTTTCAGTCGACTTTGCCTCGAAAAACTCCTTTCAACAGTTGCAATTGTAACTTATAATAGGTGCGATCGTATACAACATTTTCAGTAGAAGATAACATAGTTATTTTTTATAGTAAAAAATTCATCTTTATAACACATTTTTAAAGCTCCGATGGTATCCATTTACTAATCCGCAGTCTCCATACAACTTTCATAATTGATATACATTAAATTCTATAGTTATATTTTAGTAATGTGCGTAGCATTTTTTTAATTGAACCTGAAATATTTCACTACGAGCTATGGTCCAGATGTTCCGTCCACCTAAATATGCGATTGGAGTATAGCCGTCGTATTTATTTGATTATTGGTTTATTAAGTAGTAGGCATAAGCTACTTTATGGATGTGTCCGTATGCGCTCTATGGTTTATCTCTGGTTACCGTACTGTTGCGAATTTCGGATAAGGTTTTTACTAAACGGTTATAGGTTTCTCTAAACCGAAAAGGTGCCCGTTGATTTTCAGCCAAATAGGTGAAGAATTAGAGTTGTTTTACTTATTGGGAGCTTACACTTCTTCGATAATCTGGTTTGTATCGGTTTATTTTATTACATAAACTTTTTCGTGTGTAAACGGAATATACGTGTGGGCATACAAAAATATTAAACACAGGAACTTTTCGTTATTTTTTAAAATATATTTTGGTCATCATATCATAACCATAGTTTAAAACGAAAAGTATTGAGATCTAGACTCAAATAATAATAATATACCTATAAATCGCAATTTAATACAATTACTGTATAGTAAGCATTTATCTAATAAACGTTCAAATTAAAATTGAATTCTAACTTTTGTGACGGTTTGCCAGTTACTAATAAATATACTTACGTACCTAAAAATAAATAAAAACCAAACAAAAGGCATTTACTTAATGCTGAATAAAATTCCCTACGAAAAATTGATAGTATTTACAGAGATGTTAGAAACTGTTATAATATATAGGTACTTGTTTGTATTATTATTATAAACGCTGCGATTTTGGAAATTTCTCTTTTTTTTTTTTTTTTATATCACTTTTAAATTCATCAGAAGGTCAAACGTCGCGCGAAATTGTCTCGTATATGTTTTGTGTATTGCACATATGCATACAGCGACCCAATAGTATTTTATCGTAGGCGTCTAAAATTTGATTCGTACCAAATTAGTCGGTACACATTTTTGTCGACGTAACCGCCGGACCTAAATACGATATTTCAATATTTTGAAAACAAACCGAAAAAAAAAAAAAGAAAAAAAAAGAAAGACAGATATAATACGGGACTTTCAAAAAACGTACGACCGCAACGGGTTCGGCGTTTTAAAAACGAATCAATCCCGGGCCGTCCGAGGAAAAAGACATTCTCGGCGGGATTCTCGGCCGGATCTCGGCGCGGTGAGCGCGCGCGCCGGTATTAAAAAAAAAAAAAAAAAAAAAAAAAAAAAAACCTAATAACTCCCGCCGCCGCGGACAATAGCGACCTGATAAATGATAACGATATTAAAACGAGATGAGAAATGATAGAATAAAAATTATGGGGAAAAAAATGAAAAAAAAAAAATATGGCGAACGGTTCCGAGAGCGCGCGCGCGCTCGCTCGCTCGCCCGTATTATTATTGTACATAGGAAGCGCATTATTCGCCGGAAGGTGGATCTTAACGCCGTCGGGGAGGTACTAACGGCCGCGCCGTATATGGTCAAGTTTGCCTAATTTGGCTCGGGCAACTCTTCTAAATACGGCAAGATCGGGGCGGGGGAGACCGCGGTGGCCCGGGAGAGGGGGCTACGACGACTACACACAAGCACCGCATAATAATCATAATAATAATAATAATCATAATAATAATAATCATAATAATAATAATAATAATAATAATAATAATATGATAGTGCGAACGGCGGTCCGCCGACGACGACGACGGCGACGGCGTTACCACAACCGTACGACCGACCGACCGACGACGACCGCTACTGCCACACCGCGCCCGCCCGAAGTCGCTACGCCGTACCAGCCGAGGCTACTGCCACTTGGACCGCGGTCCGGACTCTACAGCAAGCAGCGGCGGCCGCGTTACCAGTGACCGAGTCTCTCTCCGGCGTCCGACCATTCCGTCGTCTGCACATGGACGTGTCGCACGCGTTTTCGTTCCGTGCTGCTGCTGCTGCTCGCGCGCCGTGCCGATGATCTGTGGTGCACCGCACCGACCTGACGAATAAACACGGGCCCACCGACAAATTACCAAACGCCGCTCCCGCGGAAAATCGAACGTTAATCAACCGTTGCCTCCGTCTCGCGACACGCCAACACGAAATCGTTCTTTTCGAAAAACGTAACCGCGCGGCCCCATCGTGATCCGGTCGGTTTTTACAATAAATTTTAGCGCCGTGCGTCCGACGAATATCGGGAGAAAAAAAACCCCCGCCTCCGTTTCGCCGGAAAATTAATTAATTAATTATTATTATTATAATTTTTTTTTTTCTACTCGATATCGACGGCTCCTAAGGAAACGCTACGACGACCAGAGACGTTCCCGCCGACGAGAAAATCGTAGATTTTTTTAAAAATAGAAAAAACGCGCGGCACATGCGCCGCGTGATCTATTATTATACGGACGCAGGTCGAATTACTACACGGCCGCGCGGCGGACGACGTGTTGGCGGGAGGGCCACGGAATCCAATCCGGCATAACCGTTCGTATCTTCACGCGCACAACAGCTGTGGCACCGCCGGTGTTTCGCGCCGTTATCAATAGTGTCGCGGCGCTCGTTGTTATCAGTGACGTTCGTAACAACAACAATTTGTTTTTTTTTTTTTCCGTCTGATTATCGTATAATATAGTTTTTTTTTTTTTACACCCGTTCGAAATTTTCCGCGTAAAATCAAACTAACCGGGTTATCATCGACATTCGTCGCCGTCGTCGTGTTCTGCGGTCGGCCGGCTGACCGTTTTTCGCGTGTGCGTGTGCGTGTGCGCGGATGACCGGTCGTAGGCGGTCAAGTGCATGAGGTGGACAGCGATGGACAGTGCGTCTGGCGGTGGCGGCCGCGACAATAGATTCGGCATGGGTTACGCGTCGAACATGTCGCTGTTGGACCCGTCGGACATTTACAACAACGGCGGCGGCGGCGGCAGTGCCGGCGGACAACAGCAACGGCCGTCCACGTCTCGAACGCCGCCCATGATGGGTGGATGCGGCCCCGTACACCAACGCGGCATTAAGCGGACCCTGGGGCCCGGCACCAATATGTGCTACGAACCCGCCGACCACCATCGTTTGGTCGACGACAACTTTTCGCCTCCATCCGTAAAGGACGTGTCGCCGTCCAACGGCAAGAAGACCAAAGGCCGGGTCAAAATCAAAATGGAATACATCGAGAACAAACTGCGTCGGTACACCACGTTCTCCAAGAGGAAAACCGGCATCATGAAGAAGGTCAGTGTTAAATTGCCATGATGTTTTGTTGAATCAAATTTACACAGCTGTGTAGACATGTCACCAATAATTTATACTTACTCGAGTACATCCTTGATAATTTTCACGTCAGAATAGTGAAGTCGGTATTAATTTGAATCGATTAGAGAGTACCCGATAAACACAATTTGTTCGGTAATGTTACAGACATAGCGAGAAAACTACTTGTGTGTGAATATTGTGAGTGGGCTAGTTTAAATTGGATTTTTTTTTTTTTTTTTTTAATAAACTAATGCTAGTTTACTATAATGTAATGCCTTATTGTAAATCAAATAAAATAAATTAATGTGTACAACTTGTAATTTTGCACAATATTTAAACAATGTAACTGTACCAAACGGTATCCCATATGTTTTCCCACATTTTCTGAAACAATAAAATGACCTTCATATTATTCAAACCACCGAACAGATGGTCATTTTTTTTTTTATAAAAGTATCTACCTACCTACATTATTTATTAATTTTTTAAAAATATTTATCAATGAATTTTTCAGAATAACCTCAGAGAAAACTGAAATTGACAAATACAATTTGTATCTACTTAAAAGCATCTACACAATAATATAAATAAAAAAAAATTACATTTTTATAAACAGATGTGCCGTACAACTTGTATAATCAGACCTCCCTCTGCATTAAACAGTTAAAAAATATTAAAATATATATATATATATATAACTTACACTTGAAATGTGTTTTTTTTTTTGTAGCAACGTTAGTATACGACCAATATACTCAACCAGAATTTATTATAAAAATCATTTTATTAAAACAAGGATTGTTATAAAATAAAGTACCTATGATTGCTATCGATACAAAAAAGAAAAAAACAAGAAAATTATCACTATTATTTTAAAATTGAACTAGCTTAACTTTACATTTCAATATTAATCATTAAATCTTTCTGAATATAAATCTTAAAATTAATAATATGTTAGGTATATCAAACAATATTGTATTCAAGACTGTATCTCATCAACCTTTCATGTGATAGTCTAACCGCATGATGTATTTTGTTCAAGTAAAGAACTGTACGGGTATATGCTGAACACAAGTACATTTTGTTTTGTAGATTTAGAAATCAATGTATACTTCATAGTTAATGCATTTACTGTATCCCTTATTAGATAGTTAAACGTTTAGATATTCATATTTGGTATGATAAATTTGAAATAGATAGTAGTAACTACTTAGGTGCAATGTTAGAAGCGCTGCAATAAAAGATTATGCTTGACATATCCGTGTCATCTTAGAAATATTTGAATTCAGCGCAGTTACATTTACCACTATTTGTTAACTTGGTTATATTTATTTTATGAATTCAGCGCAGTTATATGTGACTATTTACATAATATACATAATATGTACAGTGTCTATTGGTAGTTATGTGCAATGTTTTTCATTTCCATCACAAATAAATATATTTATTTAGTTATTATCTTTTTTTTTTTTTTTTCTATCCAAAGATTATACTATTATAAAAAGGTATTCATTTTGTTAGGCGGGTACCTATCTACAACTTGCAATAAGTAAAATGATCTTTCTGTAGTACAAACAACGCTGTGTTTTAATTATTGATTTCTTATGATAAATTAACCAAGTGTACCCAGTAGTAAATATTAGTAGTACGTTGTAGGTAGTTTTTATAATATAGTACGGCATATTAGTATACCCGGTTGACATACGGCTTGGGTGTCGGTCAATTGAATGTGCGCGGCACTTAATAATCATACATTAGATTAAATCATTGTATTACCCGTTCTGGAAATAGTGTTGAAAAAAAAAAAAAAAAATTATGATTAATACCGATTAGTGAAATTACATCAAGTATCCCTAATAAAATAATAAAAAAATATAAAACAAATGAAACAGAAATGGAAGTACTTGGCACAAAATAATAATGTCAAAATAGACATCAGTGTCAACGGTTGGATATGCAAGAGATATTGTTGACATAGCAGTGCTGACAATTTTGTTGAAAGAAGGACAATTGTGTGTAACCGTCGAGAACGCGATATATTGGCACTTTTTAACGTTACCGTTCCGTTAATTTCGATATTATTTACCGGCCGTCCGAGTTCCGTTTGTTATCTCGACTACGGCCCGACGCCGTGGCTGCGGGCCCAACTGCTGCCCGTCAGGTTTTACGATCGCGGCGCCGGACCGGAAAACATAAAAACCGTTAGCTCGGTTAGGGGCTATTAGAGGGCGCGCGGACGAAGAAATGACGATGGATCCGGGTGAATAACGTGATGGGGGTGGGAACGGGGAGTAGAGTGGTGCGGCCTAAAGGTGAAATAATAACGAAATCGGTGTTATTTATGACGACGCGAAAACGGCAAACTCGACCGAGATGTTCGCACGAATGATTTTTTTTTTTTTTTTTGATTTCTCTCCAATTTTCCCCTTATACATCGTGATTGTTACATTTCAGGCGTACGAGCTGTCGACGTTGACGGGGACGCAAGTAATGCTGTTGGTGGCGTCCGAGACGGGCCACGTGTACACGTTCGCCACGCGCAAGTTACAGCCGATGATCACTTCGGAAGCGGGCAAAGCGCTCATACAGACGTGCCTGAACTCGCCCGACCCGTGTCCGTCGTCGTCCGGCGCCAACTCCGGGGACCAGCGCATGTCGGCCACCGGGTTCGAGGAGACCGATCTGTCGTACAACATCGGCGACGACCACGATTCCAAAGTAAGGCAGTTTGTGTACGGCCAACAGAGTCCACCCGTCCACCATCCGCACCATCAGCAACACCATCCCCAACACATCATGGCCATGTCCCCGCCCGCTCATCTCATACCCTCGTCTAGTCCCAGCCCGCTGATGCACACGGCCAACTATCAGCAACAGTGCACGTCCCCGCTGCCGCTACACCAGTATCCTCACATGGCGTCCCACTCGCACAACCAACGGTAATAACGTTCGGTCGAACACCCCCCCCCCCCNNNNCCCCCCACACACACATACACACGCGCACACGCACACGCACACCCACCCACCCACCCCTCTCGCCCTCCATCCATTCGCGTCGTCGTCCGCCGCGGGACGGCCGATCGTTTCCGCAATAAGTGTTTTGCAATGGCTCGGGGATGACGGAAGAAAAAAATATTATAGACTGAACCGTATATTTATAATATCGCGCGGACGCGCGTCCGGCCCTGCGGCGTGCCGGCGAGAGCGCGGAGATTCCGTTCGGTCGCCGCGAGACGCTATCGCGACGGTTTTCCGTTCGCGATCGCGACGGTCGCCGTCCCCCGGGGGGGGGGGGGGGGGAAAAGGAGGAAAATTTAAAAAAAAAAAAATAAAAAAAATATTACGAGTTCGACCGAACGTTATTCATCACGCCCCTTGCAAGCGCACACACAACGGTTTTCCTCGTGTTTTAGCCCCGAAACGTTTTTTTTTTATTTTTTTTTTTTTTCCATAACGATTGCGGTGTGTGCCCCCCCTCCCGCTTTGTTTTGTGTGTTACGTTTTATCATTATAATTTTTTTTTTTTTTTTTTTTGCTGTGTTGTAGATCTTATTATTATTGTTACGATAAGCTTAAGTTTTCACTACTTGTAGTATTAAAAAACCGCTGTATTGTTTTCGTATAATAGCAGAACCCGCGGGTTCGGGTTCGAATTCCGACTGCGGTCCCGGCGGCGTCGCGGTTCGAACACCCGTTCCCCGGGCGTGCGTGTGTGCATGTTAGCGTTTT